TGCCAACCCTTGAACGGGCATATTACCCTCGGCTGCGCCTCGGTGTAATATACCAGTTCTCGTGTTGACAATATCCTCTATCACCCCGACAATCATGTGTTAATTATATATTATTATACCTCAATATATCCTTCAATGTAAAACTCCCATAGGCCTACAATGTGTTCTGATCGAATATCACCCTCCTAGAATAATTATATTCCCCGGGGAATATTTCTTATATCACCCTGGGGCACATAACTCTTACATAACTCTGTATTCATAATAGCGATAATGCCTTAGTAACCAGTTATTGTTTGATTTTATTAACCTGTCAATTCCATACTGATTATACGGTCAATGCACAGAATATATTAATATTCGATAAATGTTCGGTAAATTCCGTGAGATGTGCGCAGTAAGATGTGATTAAATTCATCTTGTTATTTTGAATTAGTTACACTGACCGTTATAGTGCAATAGGGTAAACCACTGGTATATTTTATCTGAATGTTCAACGTGTTGTAGGATCGAGACAGAGTATGTCCAGTATTTTTTTTCATAACTATTTTCTACATGTTTTTTAAGATATGGTTGTTCCATTTTTAATATGTTTTGCACCATTTTGTAAACACTATACATTTGTATATAACAAGAATTAATACTGAAAATTCATTCCGATTAAAATCAATAAATGTAATTATACAATATAAAATGTGACAATTCAGTGTTTCTTAGTTGGTTCATATCCGTGTAGACAAATTGCAAGCGCTTGACCATTTTCATTAAAATATACTTAAAAATAAAGAAAGAATAAGTCTAAAAACAATATCAAAAATGGGGATCGAACCTCGGACCCCTCATGCATTAGGTAATCACTTAACCGACTGTGCTATTGTGGATGTTACAAGAACCTACATTAATCTAGTGAGAGTTTTCCAAACGTAAGTGATACACTCCATATTAATTCTCGTAAAATAAACGGAAAAAACCGCAGTGGGATCGAATATGTAAATGAGTGCTATAATGTATTCATAATTAACAGGTCAATAAAATCAGACTAACATAATGCAAAAATATACATACTAATACAATTTAAATAGTTTATAAAAAAAATCTTTATTTAGCAAAGAATCCCACGTGGAAAGCGAAAAGTTCGTGCGAAACCGTTACAAGCTTGTACATGTTCACGTGTATAAAAATTACTACATATGAAAATTTTATAGATACATGATTAAAAATAATTGTAATTTTGCATCCATTAATAATAATTATAAAAATTTGATTTTGTTGTTATTTATTTTCTAATGAAGAAATAACGATATGCCTGTCTGTCTGTTTGTCTTGTTTTTATCAATACATTTTTGTGTTTACAGATCAAAATTGCTGTAATTTTGAAGTGTTGATCTGTATTTTCTCTTATGAATGTTTTGGAACCTAAGTTTGTTTTTTTTCGGTATAATAAAATAAATAACATATGGCTGTCGGGGTGATAGAGGGTACTGCCAACCCTTGAACTGGCATATTACCCTCGGCTGTGCCTCGGGGTAATATACAACTTCCGGGTTGACAATATCCTCTATCACCCCGACAGCAATATGCTATTTATATATTATTATACCTCAATATATCCTTCAATGTAAAACTCCCATAGGCCTACAATGTGTTCTGATCGAATATAACCCTCCTAGAATGTATTTCCGGGGAATATTTCTTAAATCACCATGGGGTACATAACTCTTACATAACTCTGTATTGATAAAAACGATAATTGCTTTAGTAACCAGTTAGCATAATGCAAAATGACAGCCATGTGTTATTGAAATAATATTCTTAAGTTAATATTTGACATATAAGTAATTTTTAAATGTTTAGTTTGTATCCAACCAGCACAGCAAGAAAACATACTATTACGTCAAGTGTCTATTACGGTGGCACAGATGTGACACATGGGTGTCTTTATTTATCTTGTTCACACGAGATATTATCTTGTTCCCACAAGATATTATCTTGTTCCCACGAGATATTATCTTGTTCCCACGAAATAATTATCTTGTTCCCACAAGATATAGAGGATATTTGTTTAGTTCAGTGTAAGATCGGAATATATTTCACCGAGTGAGCACCAAAAGGTATATTTCACGAGTGTCACAGCCACGAGTGAAATATGAACTTTTGGTGTTCACAAGGTGAAATGTATTTCGATCTTACACTAAACTAAACAAATTTTCTTTTTATTACATGCAAAGAAACGTTTTAAAAAGACAATTAAACCTAATACTGAATGAAAAGCGCGCCAAATAATAATACAATGTTACGACGTCACGTCATTAAGTTGGTTCCCAGTAGGGTTTCTTAATCGGACAAAAATCATAATCGATCATCGAAAATAATCGAACAACCTTTTTCGATCAATCATCGATTATATAATCGAAACATTTATGATAACAAAGTAAAAAAGTATAATGTACATAAATAAATTATCATGCTTTAATATTTTATAAGAATTCTATTTCCATGTGACCACCACTTTATCAACTGAAATAAATTAATTTTAAGATAATCTATGCTCATCCTTGAGTAAAATATTTTAATCAAATAAATTCATTAAAATCTATGAAATTATTATGTCTCACTTTCTAAAAAGGAATGAATAAACTATGTATGGGAACAAGTTAAGTTGGTCGATCTGTTCTTAACAAAACTGCCAGTTTTTTTTAATGACACTATATATTGATATTGCAACCACCTTTAGTGTGTAGAATAATTTTATACATAACATATCTTTTTGTGTGAAGTCAAAACAATGTTTATTTTATATTTACAAATAGAAGGTATAACAATTTTAAATATTTTCTAATGTCAAATTTGAGCATAATATACCTTTAAAATAGCATGCCTGATTGTCAACTATTAACTCAATGGTCACTAGTATGCTTTCATATTCAATTGAATGAAAATTATTGTTTCAAACAAAACTGGCTTTAATTTAGAGTGTTGTTATAATACAGTTAGTCACTTAAGTAACAGCAAGAAAATAAATTGCCGATGATCGATTATTAAACTTTGTAATCGATCATCGCCGATCGGTTCTATAACCGATCAATTTTCGATTATACTCGATCATCGTTTAATCCCTAGTTCCCAGTACTGTGCACGCTGGTATTTCACTGAAACAACGTAAGGGGCTAAAATTCAAAACAGTGAAATTATCAAAGTGGTAATTTCACTGTTTCAAACCAGTTTTATATCACTGATATATTTCTATAAACCACCGAAAAGCATGTAATAAAATATCTTGTTCCCACGAAATAATTATATTGTTCCCACGACATAATTATAGCCAATTAGAAGCTGTAAAATGGTAATATAGCAGTTACTTCCCCTTATTTAGTTGAACATTTACTTGATTATATATACATTATTTTCATGTTTAACCATGTAGGTTGATCTTGAAAGTGCCACACTGTAGGGACATACAAAACCTTAACTACCAATGACTGGTGTTTAATAGCGCATACCCTCATCTGGTGACGCATTTGCGTGCAAACTGATCTGGGTCGACACTGGAGGGATACATGTAAGTAGCCTTTCAAAACTCTGTATTTATAAGGTGGTGGCCCCGCAGTGGCGTTCAGTCCACCACGCGCGAATGAGTAATAATCAAATACAAATGTCTTAAATCAATGTAGCATGAGAAGGACCGTCTTCGCAGCACTTAAGAGAAAAGTCACAAAACCCATTTAACAAGTGTTGCGTATATGCTTATAACGACCGTTGTCGAACCATATCCCCCGACAAGCAAATGCGTCATTCTGTCAAGGTCTGCACTGTTCGCTGTTGAATCAGTAGGTCAGATTTTAACTGTCAATGCAGTTAACCTCTTGATTAGCTCATATGGTTTATACAGGTTAACTGCTTTGTTTGCCAGATAGAGTTGCATATGTTTCTTAACTTTTGACCACTTGACAGTAAAGGAATATGCAACTCTGTCCACGCCCCTATACCGTTCACAAACTTTCGGGACGGAACGCTATATGGGACACAAAAATATTGAAGAACACAAACGATGGTAAAACGTATTGCTTCGGTGAGTTAAGAAGGCACATACCCCCCGCGCCCCATCCGGATCTGCAACTGGCCATGCACAATAAATTATAATGAATGATAATTTTACGTCGGGGGTAAACCAGAGGGTAAAATCACGGGTTAGTTGGAATCCAATACAATAAATTACAAATTAACAAATGAAAAGTTGAGACATTTATCGTTAACCGATTTGGACATTGATGAGCACCTAATTTGTTGCGACATTTTTCGTTAATTTTTGGACATTTATCGTTAAAGGAGTTTTGGACATTTATCGGCGATTGAGACATTTATCGTCAATTTTTGGACATTTATCGTCGTTTGGACATTTAAATTTCGACGTTTGGACATATATCGGCGCTACAATTGCCTTTCAGTTCGATAAAATATAAACAAAAAGATATTTTATTAGTTTTCTTTATGCATCTAATACGATTCCGGATCCCTACCGTCATACCGTTTTGGTAACCTGTGCGACGGAAATATAAGGAATATAACGAAGACGACGATTACCACTATTTATTTCAATAAATGTGCCGCTTAAGCATAAATCTATTTTGTGATGTTCAACCTAAACTAAACTATTGAACATTGACAGAAAGGGCCAAGTTTAACCCTTTACCAAGAAAAAATTAAAAGGTTTTGAAAACGACCTTTCGAATGATTTACAATATGAAACTGATTAATGAAAGATAACTTTGTAATTATTTATACATTTGCGTCTTATCAGCCGCCATACCTTTTGCCAACTATTCACAAGTTACTTGTATGTCTTATCAGCAATCTGTTACTATTAATAGATTTTATAACAATAACATACAACGTGTAGTCACGTGATTCTTACAAGAGCACAGGGAGAATCTGTTTATAATTAGATAAAATAATGAAATATAATAAGTGGCTGAAGATATTGCAACAAAATAATGGATTACCTCTTTTCTTTCAAATCTGAACTTTTTAACTGCTCCATTTTCCATCATGTGAACATACTTAATATGCGGAACGTGATGATTTCTTTTTAGATTTTGAAAATGTTCATGCAATTCATCTGTTGATACGTCAACATCTAATTGGTCAGGAAACTGGTCGATATACCTTCTTTGTCTTTTATCTGTATCTACGACCTTCACCTTAACTGAAAAGTAGTACTAAAAGTCTTGGATGTACAATCACTCTATGGCACAATGGGCACACATTTTCCATAAGTATTTCTTACAAATATTAATAAAAACAATAAATGTATCATTTTGATTAAATATATATACATGTATCTTAAAAAATTGATAGCTTACAGAGTTATTTATTATGGATATTGATATGATTAAATAATGATATTTTGTTCTAGAACAATTTATTATCTAATACATATTGAAATGTCATTTGTGATCATGTTAGTTACTCACACTAAACCAAGGACATCCATAAGTAATTTTTCACGGTTTGTTGTCACGTATTATACCAAATACTATCAACATAACTATTCATCGTTTACAGACATTTTATTGTGGACCAAATCACTTAATTAAATAATCAAAGCACAGAAGGCGCTGAAATTGTTAGGGTCTCAGAATGTCAGAAAGGTGAAGGTTGTGAGATTATAAACCAATTTGTTTTTGTGTAGTGCCAGCAATGCTGTTTCCAGTGTTACCCAAACAAATAAAAACTAGAAATTGTCACAAGTGCCAAATATCCCCTCCCACACCACACACACACACATGCGCGCGCGTGCTTGTCAGAAAACGTGTTTTTATTTAATAATTTTGCACATAGGATGATGATAAGCAGAATGCAGTTGTTTATAGATATTTTTCAAATATTTGTGAATTTTTGTCCTACATCAATAAAATAAATTAAAGTTTGGATTTGAAGTTTTCTTGACTTCTTTAAGGGCAATACGTTCTTTCTCCCTGATATTTCTGTATTTCTACTCAGTGAGATCTATCTATTTATATAGTGTCATGTTGATACCTTTCATAGTAACTCTCATGGTATATCCTGGACAAAGTTCAAAGTATTTAAATGAACAAAGGCAATAACTCCAAAATTAGGGTAGAAAGGTTAACGGTTCTTCCACACTGCACTTGTTACATCTATCTACCTACACAGTTTCAAGTTGATACCTTTTATAGTTTTCAGGTAATTTCCAGGACAAAATTCAAAGTGTAAAAACTAACAAAGGTCAATAACTCCAAAATTTGTGATGAGAGGGTTATGGTTCTTATTCACTGGATTGCTCAGTAAGTCTATATGCCTACAATGTTTTTAGTTGATACCTTGTGATGTCCCGAACAAAGTTCAAAGTGTAAAAGTGAACAAAGGGCAATAACTCCAATTTAAGGCAAGGCAGAGTTATGGTTCTTTTTCACCGCACTTTTCCTCAATGTGAGCTGTCTACCCACAAAGTTGCTTTTTTATAGACTGATGTCCCGGACAAAGTTCAAATTGTAAAATAAACAAAGGACAACAACTCCTAAATAAGGGAAGGCAGAGTTACGGTTCATTTGCAGTGCACTCCTACTCAATGATTATATATACCTACAAAGTTTCAAGTTGATACATCTTGTCGTGTCGTCCCGGAAAAAGTTTGAAGTGTAAAAATATGGGACAATATCTCCAAAATTAGGCAAGGCAGTGTTACGGTTCTTTTTGGACTGCTTTTCTACTCAATAAGATTTATCTACCTACACAATTTGAAATTGATATATCTTGTAGTTTTAGAGCTATATCCCGGACAAGAAATCTGCAACGGGTCGACCGACCGACTGACCACCAGCTGACTCCAGTATACCCTCTTTAACTTCGTTTTTCTGAGGTATAATGAAAATAACATTTATAAGTAACAATTTGTAGAAAAAAATCCCACCTGTTGCTGGCTTCTCTACATTTCCTTGAGGATAGGGAATGGTTTTGGCGATGCACGACTGACGATTCAAGCTTATAACAAAAATCATTGCAAGGAAGATGTGATTTATTAACGAAGTCTTCATTTCTCCAGCGGATCATTTATAGCAAGTGTATCTTCTTTGTCAATTTAGATTCTGAAAAAGAGTTATAAGCTGTTTTTATTGTTGTATATGAATATTAGATTATTATTTTAGATACACATTGTACATGGTATGGAAGTTCAACTTCCAAGTATCAAATGAAAAAGCATTTATAAAGAAATAAACATTTCTTTTTAATTTTCTTATATACATAAATGATAATAACAGTTCAAACTGCGATTGACATTACGAAACTTCGGTAATCCCAAAAAAAAACAGTCTAAAATTCCCCTTCTGGCAAATATTTCCCCTTTAACTGAAGTATAAAACTTTCTAGTTTAAAAATAGATAATAATATTGTTTTGTCCACTGAAATAACCCAATAGAGGGATACCTTGATTTAATACAATTGATGTTAACTCAGAGCCTCAGTTTGAGTTTGCAACTTTCTAAAAACAGCATGGGAAATCCCTGCTGCCTTATTTTTTAGTGCACATGTGATTTGTTACAACAATATGGCGACCGATACGATGTCACAGTAGACACTAATGTAAACAATGTCACAGAACAAGAAGAAAATACGATTGAGTGACGTTTGTAATTGTTTATTAAAAATTGGATGAATTGATGACCTTGTTAGTGCAAGCCCATGTGTCCGAGTAGCACAACCACAGGTGGCAGTATCAGTGTTTGGACACCCCACCCCTATCTGCCCCTGGATCTGCCCCCTACTACAACCCTGAAAAAAAATAATTCAACACTCTAAAAGCTTACTAGAAGGTACCAAATACAAAACCACCGATGAAATAATATATAAAAAAAAAGATTTTCCACTATCAAAATTATAGTTATAGAAAGGTGAAAAGCCTACTATATGTTCATTTGCCAAACAATGTGTGTATCTTCTTTGTCAATTTAGATTCTGAAAAAGAGTTATAAGCTGTTTTTATTGTTGTATATGAATATTAGATTATTATTTTAGATACACATTGTACATGGTATGGAAGTTCAACTTCCAAGTATCAAATGAAAAAGCATTTATAAAGAAATAAACATTTCTTTTTAATTTTCTTATATACATAAATGATAATAACAGTTCAAACTGCGATTGACATTACGAAACTTCGGTAATCCCAGTTTGTTTATATAAATAAGATTTCTACATTATTTTTACTTGATTTATTGGAGAAGGAAGAAATAAATTATAAACGAAACTGTTCTGTTTCAGTTCGTTTTGAAGACGCAAAAGTTAATTTCTTTTATGATTTCCTCCACGTAGGAAAGCCAATGTTAGTATTTTACCATTGATTATTTTATTAGTTTTATCATGAAGCTAAATATAAGATTTTTCGGGGAAAAAAATCCTTAATAAACCCTTTATGATATTCAACTAATTAAAAAATAGTGACAATAAATTGACCCTCTATACCTGTAAAAACATACTAGGTACCTTGTTTTTTCTGGTATATAAGGTAATTTTTTTTTTATAATTATTTCTTTATCATAAAGAGTTGATCTAGGAGTTTTTAAAAAAAATCATTTTTAAAGGGATGGGATGATGGCAAAACCCTTTTAAAAGGAAACTTTATTATAAAATATAACTAAAAAAAGTCACTCCGTAGTTTACAATAAACATGGTCACTTAGGCGCTTGCAATTTATTATGTAAGCATGCACATTAGTTTAAAATTATAAATAGACTTCCTTGGGTTCAATTTAGTTAAAATTTTAAGTTATATAAATGTACGTAACGGAAATATAAACATTCTACAATCTATTCTTTAAAAGGTGTTATCGTGAAATTAATATAATATAGGCTATTAGCACGCTGTCAAAAGGCAAGCACCTCACTATGTAAAGCCGAGGAAGTTTTATATTATTTATAATAAATGTGATTCATTCCGTAAAAAAAGTGCTCACACACTATCCCAAAAAGTATTCCAAGCCCCATTTTCTAAATCATAAATACCTCCGAAGAATAACCCTCTTCCCGGGAAAACTTCCCTTAGAATAGCATAATAAAATGAGCTGCGTCACGACAAAACCAACATAGAGCGTTTGCTACCAGCATGGATCCAGACCATCCTGCGCATCCGCGCAGTCTGATCAGGATCCATGCTGTTCGCTCACAAACTCTATAACAAGTAGAGAAACTGATAGCTAACAGCATAGATCCTGATCAGACTGCGCGGATGCGCAGGCTGTTCTGGATCCATGCTGGTCGCAAACCCATTATGTTGGTTTTGTCGTGACGCGGTAATATTTCAATTATTGAAATAGTTTCGCTCTCTCTATATATAATCTTGTTATCTGCCCCCGTGTGAGATAATAAACCAGATTATATATATGGAAATGATTTTTTTTTCGTATGTTAATATTTATGCTACTGAAAAGGGAAGATTTCCCAGTAAGAGGGTTTCATCGGGGGAGGGGGAATGTCTGAAAAATACTTTCTTACGAATGAATAATATTTAATACAAGAAGGCAACTTCCCCCGAGACGTTTGCGTATGCTTGTTAAACTGTGTAGACAATTCTCCCGAACATTTGCCTTTTGAACTCTTACTATGTTATATGAATTTCACGTATTTGAATACAATCATTTTTAATAAGCATCGGTTGTCGTCCTGGTAATTTAATGTTAACAGTACAATATCAATATCATTTAAATCAGTGATTTAAAAAGTAATTTTTATTCACATAATTTACTGTATTCCTTTTGTGGCCCACAAAAATGAAGAAAAAAAACAAACAAACAAACGAAAATCACGCGCTTCCCTATAGAGTCAGTGTACCCGGTGTCGTACACTTTTTTAAGGAAAAATAAGAAAATTATTTTATAGTTAAAAATTCTTCTTATATTTGATATAATTTTGAAAATTACATCCTTTGCCCATAAAAACTGATGACCAAAACGTTTTCATCTTAAGTCGGTCATACTTTTAGGCGCACTTGATTTTAAGCAAAAGGAATGGGCCAAATTTAATAAATAATAGACTCGGTTCCGCACACAAGGCCATTTTATACTGAAAGGTTATTTTACATCTAAAACATGTTTTAATAAATTATTTAACATCTCTAAGTCCAGATAAGATATATTTTTTTGCAAATTTTCAGGACTACAAATAAATTTAATGCACATTCTTACTACAGTATACAAACATTTTATTTCCACAGGAAACATGTAACAGCAATGGAAACATACTTTTTACCACTTGTAGCTAGTAAAACAGACATAAAAATAATTATTGAAAGTTTTTTTCATCTATTAGTTATGATTTGTTCGATTAAGAGTTTGGTATTATTTTAAACAAAAGAATCAAGGTGAAATGACTTGGTGTTTGGTAGTTAGAAGAAGTTAATTCATGTGCATTATGGGCCTTTTTACCCTTCTTTGCTGTAGCCTGTATCAGGCTACTTCCCCAATCCAAATTACTACCTTTTTTCCCCAAAAAACAGTCTAAAATTCCCCTTCTGGCAAATATTTCCCCTTTAACTGAAGTATAAAACTTTATAGTTTAAAAATAGATAATTGTTTTGTCCACTGAAATAACCCAATAGAGGAATACCTTGATTTAATACAAATGATGTTAACTCAGAGCCTCAGTTTGAGTTTGCAACTTTCTAAAAACAGCATGGGAAATCCCTGCTGCCTTATTTTTTAGTGCACATGTGATTTGTTACAACAATATGGCGACCGATACGATGTCACTAATGTAAACAATGTCACAGAACAAGAAGAAAATACGATTGAGTGACGTTTGTAATTGTTTAATAAAAATTGGATGAATTGATGACCTTGTTAGTACAAGCCCATGTGTCCGAGTAGCACAACCACAGGTGGCAGTATCAGTGTTTGGACACCCCATCCCTATCTGCCCCTGGACCCCTACTACAACCCTGAAAAAAGAAAATTCAACACTCTAAAGCTTACTAGAAGGTACCAAATACAAAATCACCGATGAAATAATATATAAAAAAAAAATTCCACTATCAAAATTATAGTTATAGAAAGGTGAAAAGCCTACTATATGTTCATTTGCCAAACAATGTGGAACACGGGAAATCGTCGCTTCGGCGACTGAGGCGCATTCCGAAGGCATTTTGCTGCATCATTCATTTACATCAATAAAAAGAACTTGAATTCCACAGCTTACTTAATTCAAGTTAAACGAATATCAATATTATATCGATTTTTTCTATTTCACGGTAATTTTTGACTTGTCGCTGCCATTTTGGATTCTGATACCTGTGTGTTATATGCGATCTGATTGGACGTCAAATTTAGCTCGTCCAATCAGATCGCGTATTTCAACCCAGGTATCAGACTGCAAAATGGCTACGACAATTCAAGAAATACCACGAAACAGAAAAAAATGGGAATGATAGTGATATTCGTTAGACTTGAATTAGATAAGCTGTGGAATTCTAGTTCCTTTTATTAATGTTAATGAATGATGCAGCGAAATCCTGCCGGAATGCGCCTTGATCACCGAAACGACGATTTCCCGTGTTCCACATTGTTTGGCAAATGAACATATAGTAGGCTTTTCACCTTTCTATAACTATAATTTTGATAATGGAAAATTTGTTTTATATAATTTCATCGGTGGTTTTGTATTTGGTATCTTTTAATAAGCCTTAGAGTGTTGAATTATTTTTTTTCAGGGTTGTAGTAGGGGTCCAGGGGCAGATAGGGGTGGGGTGTCCAAACACTGATACTGCCACCTGTGAGCACAACATGCTCAACTGTTGGAAATAGCGAGCCTAGCACATCAGTGCCAGTAATACAGTGTAAACTGATAATAATGTACCCTCTGAATCAAACCAAGAACGCTCACATGACCAACGTAAAATACTATAAATAGGAAATATGAGTTAATATAGAGGGGCAATAAATTGATCTGTAAAAATGTCTTTTACTCCTGTTGGACAGAAAGCTTAGTACTATAGTAAACCTTAAATGCGATTGGAGGAAGATATGCAAATAAATTATGATATTTCCCCGAAATGTGTGAAAATATGATATTTTCCCCAAAAGTGTGAAAATCGCGCATTTTTTCCCCACAAAAAGGGCTAGGGCGCCTTCCCCAAAACTAGTGAAAAGGCCCTGGCATATATTTCATAACTTACAGCAAATTTGCCATAACAAAAACATACATTTCTTTTCAAATATATATTTTATAATAATCTTAACATTAAAATAGAAATTAGCATGGTTTACTTGCTGAATAAGTTGTTTTTATGTGTGACCTACACAGCCATGTACATGTATTAACATTTTCGTCTGCACTCTCCAGGGAGAGGCTGGGGTGCAAGATCCCAGATTATGTTATATCTTGTTGAAAACATGCCAGTTCAGTGAAACACAAAAGAAAACTGAATAAATTCATTTAAATTTTCAAGAAAAATGAAAAATGGGAAAGTGTGCGGGACCGGATCCTGTGCGGAACCGGGTACACTGACTTTACTTTCATATTCACGTAAAATATTCATTTTAAAACCCCAATACATAGATTTTATTTATAGTTGCAAATAACAAATATCAAAAGCTTTTATGTAATAAATCTTTTTTCAATAATAATGTCAAAAACAGAATATTAATATCATTTCTTTGAATGCCAATAGTGTAAAATATCTCTCTCTTATGAAATAACTTTGAAATCATTTCAAAGCAAAAAAAAAATATTATACAAATATGGACTTTTTAGCTGTTGAATATGATGTGATATGTACTAAAAAATTAATATTGACGGAGGCGATAGCCGAGGTCAATATTAATTTTTTAGTACATATCACATCATATTCAACAGCTAAAAAGTACATATATCTGTTTTATTATATAATTTATAAATAGCTTTTATATGGCTTATCACATCTGTCATTGCATACGACGGAAATCATTATTTTTCAGCTTGTCTACTGTTTCCATAATTTGGCCTGCTAATCCCTATTGTTCTTAAAAATGAAAAACGGTAACTAAAATAGACTAATTTGACTCTTATGTACACCCACACAAAGTTTTTTCAGAATAATAACAACAAATTTGGCGTGACGTCACGTAAAAGTCTCGCGTCTTTAAGGGATTTCCAGAAAATCTATTTTTAGAAGAAAAACCGGTGAATATACTCTGAAAATCTATTTTTAGAAAAAAAAACAGTGAATATACTCTGATATTGACCTGTTATTTTTTACAAAAAGTTGCTTGTTAGCCAATCAGGGAAAGGCATTTCAAAGCTATTTATAGATTATATAATAAATTTAGATATTTTACTTAACAGTAGATCTAAAACTTAAAAAATCATTTTCCCTTTTTTTTAAAAAATCAATATCTACTGTACATTCAATAAAAATCAATGTTCCTTTAAATAGATATTCTTTACTTCTGGCACCATTTTTCAGGTCGGTTTCAAGTCAGGATTATAAAATATCTACAGCGAATTTGTAAAATAGTAGAGAGAAATACAGTAAAGAACATTGTATAACATTAAAAACATTAATTATTTTTAAACTTTTACTTTAATAATAAGCAAATAGAAATCTACATGTAGAACTATAAACAGAATAAATATTTCTTCGTGTACCTTTAATTCTGTCAATTTCTTTATCTCAATGTTTCAACTATCTTTATTTGTTATATTTTCTGTTATCTTTTCGTTACTTTATTAAAAATTTGTTCTATTTGTTTACATGACGTCAAAATGAAAAAGTAGGTTTTCCCGTAAAAACTGGGTTAATAGTGACGTCACGATATATTAATAGTTAACAAAATGGCGGGATATTCTGTGCCTGGTATGAATTAACAAAACGAGGTTGAAAATAACATAAACCGTTTTTGTAGATTAAAAAAAAGTTTCCCTCGAGATATTTTTCAAAGATTTTTCCTCTAAAGTTTCTACTTTTCTTCTAAAAGCAAAGTTTGATTTCTCTACGACAAATCTTTGTTGTTTATTTTCCGACGCCATTCATATGAAGATGAACAAGAGAAAGCACGTGTCATGTTTTTAAAATGTACTTGAGGTTCTCGGGGGTCGTTTCATGTATATTTTACAAAGCTGAATCTAAAAGATGTAACAGTTTAGTTGCGACAGACTCTATATGATGCAAAACTTCAAAAACGTGAGTAATAAGCAATAAAAACATCAAGTCACATGGAGTAGAAATTGCACTTACTTTTATGTTTTAAGCGGAATAGAATCCCGTTGAATTTCGAAACAGATCTTTCTACGACAAATTCACATTCGGAAGATTCCTTCATTGCCAGTCTTCATCCAGTTCCGTAGATCCTATTTCTGACTTCTGAATGACAATCATGATGACTCCTAATTTTAGGAACTTTAATCCAGATGAAACATTGCTCCATATGCAAAGTTATATCTGTTAGCAAATGAAATATGTTAACGAAACACATCATAATTCAGTATTCAAATTCATAATTCAAGAACTGCCCATCAGTTTCTGTTCTAAAATCACAATGTTTATTCTCGGAAATGGATTGAATGACGAAAACAAATTTGTTAACATATGACGTAACAAAATGTATCGCGCTTTTAATAGATAATTCCGCTTTCGGAATTGTACGGTCGGTGGCATAAAAGTGACATTTGCAAATTTTTTGTTTTTGTTTTTTACTTGATTTATTTTTTATATATATTTTAGCGTCTTTGTTTTAGCGTTTTCGAAAAGTAGTAAATCTAACAGTGAACATTACTCAGTATATAGATCTAGATACAATATCACCATGCACTATATTAGATCTGTATATAGATATGACCGAGTGAACCATGAACAGAATTTTGAAGCTCCTAGATCTATATATTTTTTGACCGGTATGACTTGATCTAAATTACGCAATGGTACATTTTTTTCAAGTAATATTGTGTTGGAGGCATGCAGCTGCGGTGGCACAGATGTCACATGTGTTTGTTTTTTATTTATCTCGTGCGCACGAGACACTATGTCATGGCCACGAGTTACTAAGTCATGGCGACAAGATAATTCAGTGGTGCGTACGAGATACTATGTCATGGCCACGAGTTACTAAGTCGTGACCACGAGATAATTCAGTGGCGCGCACAAGATACTATGCCGTGGTCACGAGTTACTAAGTCGTGGCCACGAGATAATTAAGTGGTGTGCACGAGAAACTATTTCGTGGCCATGAGATACTATGTCGTGGAAACGAGTTACTTAGTCGTGGCAATGAGATAATTCAGTTCTGCGCACGAGATACTATCTCGTGCCCAAGAATTACTAAGTCGTGGGAACGAGATAATTAAGTCGTGCGCACGAGATAATTGACAAATCAGATTAAACTATTTGTACAAATTTTCTGCCTGTCAAAGTGCCATTTAAACAATTTTTTAATTGGACATTGATTTTACTTTTAGCGTTATTGTGACCCTGATCTTTTACCCAATGACATCAAAAATAATTAGGTGTCATCTACTGAAATCTTTTTAGGTTATAGACCTTTTAACAATACGATTTTTCCATAGCAACCGATGTTGCATTTCGCGCATGCTGCGTAGGGCAAAAGCGCAATAACGATAGACTACATTTAGCGTACTTGAAGGCTATGAAAGACGTGATTATAGGTTATGTCACCAAGAAAACAGATTTGTTTTGATGAATAAAAGCGGTCAGTACTTCAAACGTGAATAGTTTTCAGTATCATTCAACCGGTACGTTTTAGTACCATGACATATTTAATCACATAAAATTATGAAATTATCGTAATTTAAGTTACTTTTTAATAATGCCATCAGTGTTTATTAATTTTGTGAAGTGACAATTAAATAGTGTACGTGGCGTGCATTTTAATGTTTTACGATAAACCGGATAAATTGTGTGTTATTTCATAACCCATCTTAACCTATCAAGAGTTTCAAACATTATTTAAATATATCTATGTGTTTTAAAAAATTTCTGCTTGGCATCACAGTCAAGTCGGATAAAGGATAATATTATGTAAGCTGAAAACTAAAAATACATTAACTTTCACGTGTTCCGACTTATTTTCAGAATAATAATTAATGCACCTCTATTTTAAATGTTATAAAATTTCTTTAGTTTTTATAAGAACAATTTTAACAACAATTAAATTGACTTCTCTATTTGATAATATATATTTCGACATTTTTTTACAACAATTATCTCATTGTCATGTCCGTGATCGTAAGGGGGGATTCTTAAACAATCGTCTTTTCCGTGCCTTTTTGTAGCAATTTGGCCACAAAGCTATAAATGTATCTTTCATGCTTGTGTAAAAAACTATTTTATATGATTTTCAAATTTTTACTCGGAATTATCAACGACCTTCTACTACATTTCTGTTGTAGGGCAACGCCCTTTTGTCCTACGCAGATTGCACATGCGCGAGAAAATACTGCTTCCTGTCAATTTTTCATACGTAAAAAGGTATATATAAACCATGGCTTTTTTCTTCAAAATAATTCATCAGACAAGGATTTTATATGAAGTGTCATTGACCTCAAACATCCTTAAACATGGGCAATGTCCCTGTCATATAATATAAACCAGAACTTATTCATTCTCAAGTTATCGTATAAACAAGGTTATCAGGCCGTTGAATTACAAACTGACCAATTCTATCACAGGATTGTCCAAGAAAGGGCTATAACTTTGTCAAAATTAATATCTGATTTATGGGCCTTGGAAGGTGACTTTCTAATATAATCATAAAGACATGTATCAAGTTTAAAGTGAATATCTTCAGTAATTTCGAAGATGAATGATGCATGTTAAACTTTAAACAGGAATTTAAGGTTAAAGCTTAAAAAATTCCTATATATATAGTATAATCTGATTGCTTATCTTGTTCCCACCACTGAGTAACTCGTGGCCACAACATAGTAGGTCGTGCGCATCCCTTTATTATCTCGTGGCCACGACTTAATAACTCGTGGCCGCGACAGAGTATCTCGTGGCCACGACATAGTATCTCGTGCGCACCACTTAATTATTTCGTGGCCACGACATAGTATTCCAGGCGAAAGAGATAAATAAAAACACGCAAATGTCACATCTGTGCCACCGTATGCAGCTGTCTATACTTAGGAAATAGATACCAATTCTGAGTGCATTGTTTAACAAATAAAACATGGCCTTTCGGGCAAAATTCAAGTTTACGGACTGGTTGGTCAGAATGAGAAAGGTAAATGCGCTTCGGGCAAAATACCTTTCGAGATCTGACCACTCAGTCCGTAAACTTGAATTTGCCCGAAAGGCCATGTTATACATGTACCTAATCTAAGGCCCGTACTTAATCTCAATCTCGACTTAAACTTACGAAAGGTCGCCTCAAGTAACGTTGGAGTAGACTTACGGTAAGTAACTGACAATGTGAAAAGTGGTATTCGTTTTGTTTACTCAACCTTACATCTCGTGAGTGAGACTTCAAAAGTTGACCGATCAGTTTTATTGCATAACATCACTCAATATACATTGCAAAGTGTAACCATGTCGTTTAAAAGAGTGTGTATCACCGAAGTGGGATGTTTGTGTTAAAAAACTACATTGTAATTATTAAAAATCTTAATATAAAAGAAAAAAAATAACGATTTTAAATATATGTCCGATAAAACAAAAGCAAGAAAGCATGAGGAAAGATTTAAAGAGAATTCAATAGTTGTCAAGTAGTAAATGCCAAAATAGCAAAATTATGTTAGAAAACCTGAAAGACAGGACGAAAAAAGAAGCTAAAGAAAGTAGTGAAAGGCTTATGACAGGCATTTAGAACTGAAAAGTTACATTTCAATAGCGTTGACTTTATTTTGAAAGTAGCATCCAATTGTTTATGTCAATGATTTTTTTTTACAATACACAATTATGTTTCCTTTTTTTAAATCATCTAATGACATTTTAAAGGCCCATTATTCCTAATAAATTCTATCAATTTTATTTCTCCAATTTTCAATGTATAATCATATAGCATTATCTTTTATATAGAAGTCAAAATACTACATGTTCTGTTCACGTTCAGCGCAACTTTAAATAGGTTTTAATTTTTTTTCTGAAGAATTGAAATAGAAAGAGGCATAACGTGCCTTTAACAAGACTGTTTTATTTATATAAACCTAATCTTTTTAATTTCTTGAATCAAATTCAACGATTTTGTACATTACCCCCCCCCCCCCCCTCCCCTCCAAACGAAACAAAAACAAACAAACAAAACAACCCTGTTTGATTGTGATGCTGGAATACCTAACGACTGAAGCGGTAAATCATTATTTCAGCTGTTATTAAAGTTAAAAAACTGGATGTAAGTAATAAAACACCATACTCGTTTAGTAAATTGTATTTTACATAAATCATGCTAAACAAATGTTCAAGATATTGGGTTTGCTACTTGGATTTTGTTTGTTGTCTTTTAATTAAAATACTCAGAAGGACTTCAACGCTAACTTTATGTAATGGTTATTCATGACGTCACGCCATGAAGATAGTTTTTCTGTCATGTTTCCTTTGAAATATCTTTCAAATATATAGATTGGGAATTCTATGTCAAGTCCAAAAATTCAAACAGTGTGATATAACTTGTATCTAACTGTTATACATATGCCAATATTTAGACGCATACGACAAATCATCCGACGACTTGAGTTAGTCACATTGACAAACACAGGAACAGTCATTTTCATGGATAAAAGGAAATTCAAATATTTGAAATCATATAAATTAATTTCTTTTTGGCATAAGTACTGGTATCCCGCGAGCTGAATACACTCCTAATAATTTATACTACAATGTACTTGCATCACACTGGGTACAGCCCTTTGAAAATCAAATTTTTTGATAAAATTCAACTTCTGACATAAATTTAATAGGATCATCTCTATCCCTAAGTATCTGTTTTTCAACATTTATTTTCTAAAATACTGTCAGTTCACGTATATGATGCACTTAAATGTATATGGGACGAAATTAATTCAAAATCAATACTCAAAACTAAGTGGTATTCAGTATTATTTTATCGAGGACACCTCAAAGTAGCCCTCTCCTAATCTCACAGATTCTCAACTTTCAGTTCACTCGACACTTACTTTAGAACCTGAATACCACTTTACTGAAAGATGAGGGCTGTCTTAACCAAGGGGAGGAATCACGCCGTTCGTTACCCAAACAAACAAGATGGCGGATGCGGCCAAAAAGTAGGATTTTCCCTTTTTTCTCTGAAATTCGTGATGTTCATGTGTAAAGGTACATATAACAACATTCTCCACAATTTTCCTGGCACACAGAAATTTATTTCATGGTGTTTCGTCCCGTACTTCTTCTGAAATGCGCGTCACCAGATTCGAAACGAGAGAAATTTCCACCGGTTTGATCGTGGTAACGTACGGCTTCT